ACCCACCAACTGCCGTGTAACTCCAACAACGGCCAGGATCCAGAGATTATCACACTCATGACATCTTATCATCTCATTCCTAATTTGGTCAAACTGGCAGGCTACCAAATGTAACATGCCCACACGGCAGAGTCTGGCAAACTCCCCGTGGTATACCCAATATGCCAAATACCAGTAACAATGATGGGTCTCATTCTCCTAACCCTGAAAAAGCCTTGAATATGGCACTTTAAAAAAAAAAAAATCTCAGGGCTAGGACGAAGAAGACGTTACTGGCACCTGCTCGAGGCAATCGACGAACAACAGGGTGGTCGTGATCGTGATCGTCGTGATCATTAAAAGACACTTGAGTGACAGCACAGCGGTAGGGCGTTTGCCTTGCAGGTGGCGGCCCAGCCTACGCGAGTTCAATTCCTCCGCCCCTCTCAGAGAGCCCAGCAAGCTCCTGAGAGTATCTCTCTGCACAGCAAAGGCTTGCAAGCTACGCGTGAGGTACTTGATATACCAAACACAATAACAAGTCTCACAATGGAAATGTTACTTGGCCCGCTGGAGCAAATCGATGAACAACAGAGGACAATTCTACGGTGTACTTCTTAAAAGACTCTGTTAGGAAATTATTTAAATATGGGGACATTCTATGAACCTTGACTCTAGAAAATGAACTGAATTATTTGTAAGAACGTTAGTGTTAATTAATGACCTGGTTTTTAGTAACAGTATGGACTTAATGATATTTAAGAAGCAATGCAATAATAAATTGAATATGAAGAGAAATTAACTTTAGAAAAATTAAAGATTTTTTAATCATTATAGAACGTATACTTTCATGTATTCATTTTATGGAAATTGGACAACAAGGCTTTGTACTGGAACAGATGCAGAAAAACAGATTTACAACATGAACTATAAAAACTCTAATATTTTAAGTTAACCAATAATAGTAGATTATTCTCAGCAAAGTCTTAAAACTAACATCATATGTCACTACTTGGAATTCCATCCATCATTTTTACATTTTTTCCTCCATGAAACATAAAAATGTTGTTTATAAATAAAAGAAACTTACAAAATGAAGAAAAATATGTTATACTTTATATTATAAAAGAAAAAAGTTAGGGCTGAAAAGATAATACAGGAGTTGAATGTAGCTCTTTCATTCTTTCTCTAATTTGAATCCTTGACACCAAATCGTGTTTCCCTGACCATCACCAGGAGTGTTTCTGAGCACAGAGCCATAAACAGTCCCTGAGCACTGACAGATGAGGCTCACTCATCCCCTACCAAAAAGAAAGAGGGGAGGTGTTTATTTATTTATACACTGAATTACTCATCTTTTCTGTAAAAAGTCACTGCTCCATTGTTCATGGTGACAACTTTTGGTAAATCACGTTTTTATTATTTTTTGTAGGTCACTGAAGTCACCTAAGATATCTGTTGCAAACCTCATTTGATTAAGAAAGAGCACAGATGATACCTCTACCATTGTTAGTTACCTGTTCGGATAACAGAGTAGTAACACTGACCCTTGAGCACTAAGGGTTATATCCCAAGAGATTCATTAGTACATGGTTATAAAAGTATTTTCAAGCAATTTTAGAATGATGTACACAAAAAAATCTATTGTGCTTTACACACGGCCAGTTTAAACACACTACAGAGAAAAATGGTACATTACACAATAATCTTTATTTTTGTTTTCATTTAAAATATTATCAGTAGAAAATGTTATTCGATCTTTTTGTTGTTATTTTTAAAAGTGCATACAACCGATGGTTCTCAAGGGAAGCCTGTAACACACTTCCACCAAAATCTGAGTAGATAATCAGGATCACGGGGAGTTACATATAATCAAAAAGACGAAGTGCAAATGTTTCTTTTCTTTTCCCACAGATCCCCTCTAAGGGCACACACAACCTAGGCAACTACTTTGTTGCTATTTAACTGAGATAAAATCCTGCTTCTGTTTTTATTTTTTGAATAAATACTATAGAATATAAATTGGGAGGTTTTTATTTGGGTTCATAGGTACTCATTAAGTATATGGCAAGACTGTAACAAAGAAATACAAATTTAAGGAGGGCAAAAAACTAGGGTTGAAAAAATTCATGGTGGGCAGGATCAACACAGTAGAAGCATGTAGGGCATTTTCCTTGCATGTAGACTACTCAGAATAGATCCCTGGCATCCTATGTGAGCTCGTGTTCAGCGCCAGGTGTGATCCCTGAGCACAAAGCCAGGAATAAGCCCTGAGTACCACCAGTTGTGGACCCCAAACATACAAAAATTCCATGGAAAATGTAGCTAATACAATGAAAGATTATTACTCAGTGGGGAAATCAGAGACTGAAAAGACTTTTTCTGAGCATCTTTAACTCTGACAAATAGCAATTAGCCCGTAGTTAGATCTAAAATATTGCAATGAAATCCACTAGCAGGCATATGAGAGGAAAATGTGGCTCTAAGTTAACTTTAAAAATCTTAGAGGCAGGGTTGGATGGGGGGAATAGGGGTTGGGAGGGATACTGGGATCCGTGGTGGTGGGAAATGGGCACTGGTGGAGGGATGGGTATTTGCTCATTGTATAATTGAAACCCAAGCACAAAAAATTGTAAGTCTACAACTGTAACTCATGATGTCTCACTAATAAAAATTTAAAAAAATCTTAGAGGCAAAACTTGTGGGGGAAAAAATCATATAAAATAGAGTATGAAAAAGTTCTCACTATTTAATATCAGCTTATTACATTCTGTAACAGCCGGAGAAACTGCCCAGAGCTTGATGTGGTTCACTTGCACATGAAAAACTATGGTTAGTTTCCTAGCTCTGTATAGTGTCTCCTGAGCACATAGGGAGGGATGAGCCCAGAGCCCAACCAAGTGTGCTCCAAAACAAAATAAATCAGTATTATAACTAGTATTACTAGCAGCTTCCTTGAAGAGAAAATGTCCACTAAATATCACTTTGAATAACCCTACGTCACCATTCATTTTTCATGCAAAATGTTCCATGTTTAATCAAAAAGTTTGTTTCAGCTTCCAACTCAAATAATCTTGACTCTTCAAGATAAAGACTGTCTTTGTTTGCATCAGGAATACTCACATAAAGAATTAATTGCCTTGAAACACTAAATATTGACAAGATGTTGACAAGGTATGGAGAAATTTTGACAAATAGAATATGACCATGTTTTACTGTTTTCCGAAGTAAACAGTATATAATTTTTTTTATTTTTTAATTTTTATTAGTGAAACACCATGAGGTACAGTTGTAGATTTACAATTTTTTGTGCTTGGGTTTCAGTTATACAATGATCAAGTAGCCCAAAAAATAAAATTGTTCCTTCCTTTTTTTTTTTTTTTGGCTTTTTTGGTCACACCTGGCAATGCACAGGGGCTACTCCTGGCTCTGTACTCAGGAATTACTCCTGGCAGTAGCTCAGGGGACCATATAGGATGCTGAGAATCGAACCCAGGTTGACCAAGTGCAAGGAAAACACCCTACCCGCTGTGCTGTCACTCCAGCCCCCCGAATCATAATCTTAACTGAAGTCGATGTCTTTCTCTCTACAACAAAGTGACGGTGTAAAAAAACATGACAATGTGGACCTACCTAGAGTTTATTCTCATGTTGAAAACACCATATCAGTTTTAAATTCCAAAATTCCTCCACATGTATGCAAACTCTTATCAAAGAAGTGTTGGAAGAAATGAGCATGTGCATAAAAACAATAGTTTTCCCATTTTCAGACCCATGTCTAAAGCATCAAAAGAATATACTCCATTTCCTGTTTTAATCCTATGAAGTCAATTTTGAAACATGAGTTTGAGGAGTCCCGAGGACATGTTTTTGATATTACCTGTTATTGATTCCAGGATGAAAAAAATGAATCCTCGCAATTGATTCTATCTTAATGGCTGATCTCCTATAATAATCTGCTCTGGGGCACTCCTTATGAGTGTGTTACTCTTTCAGCTTGAGCATTTCCTTATGGGTGATAAGACCTGATGTTGACAAACTGATAATATTTTCTCTTCCAACTTTTTATAAATGGAGTTATCAGGACAGATACCATCTGGCAATCAGTGTATCACAAAATAACTTCCAGAAAGTAGAGAATGGAGCCCTTAAAATATAATAAGGAACTGAGACTTCAATTCACTTTGAGGTATATTTAAAGTATATCCAGGCTGCCTGTTATGGTTCAATTTCCTTTAAAATGGGAAATCAGAACTGTTGATAGAAGATTCAATAGGAGCAGTTAAGAAGGGTAAAATAATGTGAGGAATACATCAATGCTGCATATGAAATAATCTTTTTTTTTCCAAATTGGCTCTTCATTCATCATAGATTAAAAATATATCTAAAACGAAAGCTCATAATTCAAAGTCACACAAAATGTAAGAAAAGCAAAATACATTTTAGGGATAAAAGAGGGTCTACATAGAAACACGATAAAGGAGAAGTGACAAGATAAAATAAAAAATAATTGAATTATGATGGAATATTTAGCTTTAACATGTAAAATATTTTTAGAAACCAGCAGTGCTTTAGTTTCTAATAAAATAAAGAGAAAATACAGCAGGTAAAGTGCTTGTTTGCAGGATACTGATCCAGATTCAATCCTTCACAGCTAAGGTCCCCTAACGCAGCCAAGGAGTGATCCCTGAGCACAGAGTGTGGAATAGGACATGAACAGTGCTATTCATTTTTGTTTTGGGCATTGTCCCAAAACAAAATACAAAAAAAGAAAAAAAAGAAAAAATTGCAGTTCAGTAAGACAAAATTACAGCAATATAACAAATGATCTTAAAGCCAACAGAATATTAACACTGACCCATGTGCACTAAGGGTTATATTCCTAGAGATATCCTTAATCCAGACTTTTAGTAACCATTCTTACAGACCAGAAATTAAAAAAATATTTATTTTAGTAGGGATTCAGAAGTTCAAGTTCCATCAATGGCCAAATGTATTCCAAATTGTTATTTTTTTCACTGTCTTGTCAGATACACTATATCATCACTTTCAAGTAAATAGGAGAAACAGACAAAGTTTGCATCATTGATACAGTCCCCTTAGCCTAAGGCTAAAATGCTATTTATGAAATTTGATAAGTGAGATACATATTGACAGAAATTCAGTCATTTGAAAACCTGGCCTTACGTGATAGAGATGCTGGTTTATATTCACAGAGAGTACAAAATATATTTTAAAAAGTGCTCATAAAATATAAGGATTTTGTCAGTTAAATTTCTCCTTAAAATAAATGTTTATGATCACTCTTAACAATTTAGTTTTCAAAATATAAGCCCTTGTATTAGACATAACATATACAAAGACAAAGAGAAAAATATAAACATGATATTTAAGTAAAAGAACTACATAGTCATCTATATATTGTACCTAGGGGAAATATATTCCAAGTGATGTGCAATTTATTTATTCTAATTTATACTAAGTATAAGGAGATATTAAGTATCTGTTAAACTAATAATAAACTGTAGGATAAATATTAGGTTATATCTAAATTGTAAATTATGAAGAAGTTACTGAAGTGACAGCTTAAAAGAATATATGAATCATACTGAATACATACATGACATCAGATTGATGAAAAGTCAAGTCACATGAGTTCCTTTGGGTACTACCGTAGAGAGAAAACCCAAAGTAAGTAAACTTGATTAGAGGTTGTTCTGTTCAATATTTTCTCTAAAATATCTTTATCTCTCTTTATGTTCATATGTTCTTTTGGAAATATGACCCTGATTTAAATAGCTGCATTCAGTAAATACATTATATTAAGGTTTTTATAAATTTACTTTAACATCAATTAATGAAACAAGTATACTGAAAAAATAATAAAAATATGGTACTGTTGCTAAAGAGATGGCAGAACAGATAGGTGATTTATTTCACTGGGATCAAGAGGGTTTTATCCCAGGCACAGGGTTTGGTCCCCTGAGCCTGACCAGTTCTGATCCCTGAGGACATATCCGGGAGTAAGCCCTGAGCACCTCTAGGTGTAACTGCAAAACAAAAACAAACTAAATGTCTACTAAGATAGCCGCTATGTGAGAGAAAAATGCAGGACACACACATCAATGAAAGATTGATTTCAGAAAGAATATCTGTCTACATTCACTTGTGACACTAAATAGGGCCTTTTAAGAGATGATTTTATGATATATTTTAGAATTACTTTCTTGTCCCAATACTTTTCTTGTTCCACTACTTTTATAATTCTAGAAACTTTTTATTCTCTGTGAGGCTACAGTGATTTATATCTCCAGAGAAAACTACTCATCACAGCCTCATCACTTTGGAGTAAAAACAACAACAAGAAGAACAACAAAAATATGCAAAGCAAAAATAAGACAAGCAACTACCAAAAACCACACAATCATATCTGCTATGACTTATATTTGCACATCTCCAGTAAACCCTTGAGTGATCAATAACACACAAGTGTGAAAAGTAAAATTTTTCTCAGTATCTTCAGATTTTAATCTCTGATCACTCTATAAAAGGAGAAACTATAAAATAGTATTTAAATAAATAATACCTTCTGGTTAATATCACCTATGTTTTGCACAAGCTAAATTCAATGTGAGAATAATTTTGAAGAAATAGTTTCTATCAAACTAAACAGATTTTCAAAACTGGATTCAAGGCAAATATTTCATTTTAACAGCCAGTTTGAAATATCGTGAAAGGTTCATAATTTACTTTAAAACTGCGGAATTTGGTATCTTTAATAAATCTACAGTGAATATGTGTAATTTTTTCTAATGATGTTTACTTTCTCTTCTCAAACATTCCTACTTTACATTATTCTTATTATTCTTCTAGTGCTTTAATGAAGACTAACAAGTGAAAAAGGAGCTTTACAAAGAAGTAAATTTTAATAGAAATTGTTATTTTGATCCCCAACATATCAATGTAGAGGAAATATGTGAACAGAGAAAATGATTAATAAATCTGTTGTTTTCTGGTCATTTGTTATAATAAAAATTACATGATGTTGGAGCTACAAGGATACTACAGCAGGCATGATGCTTGCCTTGCAGATAGCTAAACTAGGTTTGACCCCAGGTACACTATATGGTCCTGTACAGTACAGACACAAGTACTGCCAGGTATGAGCACAAAACAAACAAAAATTCACACAATAAAAGAATTTTAAATATTTTCTTCAGTTGTATTTTCTACTTTTTCACTTCTTTATGAAGTTTTATATAGCTATAATGTCTTAAAATGTTTCACCAAAGACATAAACTATAAATTAAATATAAGCAATACTTCATCAAAATTAATCTTCTATTTTGCCAAAGACACTGTCAAGAGAAATATGGTCACAGAAGACACATCAGATAAAGGACTAATACAGACTTTAGAACTCTTCAGATCTTTAAAACTCAATAGCGAGGAAAAAAAAAACTAAATAGCAACAAAAACTGGCCAGGAAACTGACACAGATATATCACCAAAGATATACAGATGGAAAATTAATGTATGAAATGATGTCTAAGATCATATTTTATAGGGCAAATGCAAGTTAATAAAAATATATATAGGAAATATTAAAATTTAAAATTTGACAATACCAAGTGTTGAGAGAATTAGTAATGAAAATTATAATTCACCGCTAGAGGCAAAGCAAAATTGTTGTAACTTAGACATTTTGGCAGTTTCTTAAAAGAACTAATCATTCTTAATTAAACTTGATATCTATCCAAAGGATTTGAAAATATATGTCTACACAAAACCCTGCAGCAGATGTTTATGTCAGCATTATTTATAATTATCTAAAATTGCCAAAACTCGAATGCAACCAAGATGTTCTTCAGTGAATGGATATATAATAGACAATGTCTATCCAGATGGTTGAAATAGAATGAACTTTTATGATATGGAATTTCATAGAGGAAATTTAAATGCAAGTTACTTAAAGAAATGAGTAAAATTATAAAAATTATATTCTCCATAATCCCAACGACTGTTTCTTAAAGGGTCAACTCATTTCTATTTGTTGCCAAAATAATATGTGTGTATCTCAAAATTTCACGTCACTTCACATTGTTTAGTAATATAATGCAAACTCTATTGTCTTTGTAATTATAATCACAGCACTTCATTTCTAACCTCTGTCCTCAAGCCTATTAATAATAGATTGCAGATAATGTGCATCCCAAGGGCTGGAGAGATAGTGCAGTGGATAAAGGCACTTCTATATGGCAGATACAATTTGATTCTCAGCACCCAATGTGGTCCTCTGAGTACAGTAAGAGTGATTGCTGATCTCAGAGCCAGGAACAAGCACTGAGCACCAATGGGTGTTGCCTCCAAGTCAAAATAATAGTAACAAGAATAATAATAACAATGATAAAAACAAGAAATTACTGTTTCAATCTATATTTGAGGCTTAAGTACGTGGGAGAGAATTCTGCTTCCAAAGGCCCCTCATGTGAGGCCTCCTGCCCCTTTCCCCTTATTTCTTGTCTCCTGAATAAAATATTCTGAAGTCAGATTGTCACAGAAGAAAGTTGGAAAAGCGTAGTGAAACAGTACTATTTTCAAGATCATCAGTAAAGTTGCAGCCGGATTATAAGCTAGGGCCACAAATCAGGTGACTTATTTGGAGCTGAAAGACACTTGGAGATTGCTCCCAGAGTCGCTGTCAGTAGTCTAGTTTTTCTCCCTGTGAGTTTCCCATTTGATTGTTCACAACATCACTTTCTCCAGCAAGAAATCCAATGGGGGAAAAAAATCAAACATTAACCAAAAAAACAGCAACCCCGAAGGAAATCAGACAGTGTTTTTAAAACATAATACGATCAGTAACATGCTATTCTGTCCTCTTCTATTATTTTTATAAACTGTTTCCAATACATGCAGACAGAGATGACATGAAAGGGATCGTGAAGATCACTAAATGGCTTGTTACCAATATTTCTAACTACACACTGCCTTATGGACTTTCCATTAGCTATTATTTTGCTCAGGAATAATTTTCTCTAAATCATAACATAGTTGACTTTACTATATCATTATGTTTTCAATTAAAGTACATACTCCTCTTAAAAAAAAAACACCCTTGGGGTCAGAGCAATAGTACAGGGGGTAAGGCTCTGGCCTTGCACATAAGTCAATTTGGGTTCTCCTCAGACAACCAGGTGTGGTCTTAAAATTAAATAAGTAAATAAATATAACCCCACCAAAAATCACCCCTTAAATATAAGTCATTTTATGTCACTTAAATTTATTATTCTCACCTTATGAGAAAAACCGGATGATGTAAAAAATTTGTATGCAATATGAATAAATAATGTTTTCATCATCTTAAGTTTCTGTTTTATTTATCTTGCCTTTGACATATAAATATAACATATATGTGTATATATGTATGTGTGTGTATATATATGTATATATATATATATATATATATATGAATCTAACTATTGTTTAAGGAAAATACTTTTGTTTACTTGCTTTTTGGATTACACCCAGTGATGTTCAGGGGTTCCTCCTGGCTCATGCACCCAGGAATTACTGATGGCAGTGCTCGGGGGACCACATGGGATGCTGGGAATCAAACCCAGGTCAGCTGCGCGCAAAGCAAACACCCTCCCCGCTGTGCTATCACTCCAGCCTTGAGGAGGAAAATAATTTTCAATAGAAATAGGTATAAGAAAGGTAGTAATCTTTTCTGAAAATTTAATACAGTAGCTTAACATGGTAGCTAAATTTTCTAAAAAAAAATCTCAAAAATAACATCCTAAGGAACAATCTTTTATTTAGACCTATGAGGTGTCAAAAATATCATCTTCTTTCTTGTCCTGCGCAACTGTGGCAAAACTGAATCAATTTGTTAGAATTTATGCAATCATGTTCATTTCCTGAGTTGTTATTTTTTTGTGATTAGGAAAATAATTCTATGATTTCATTGTTCATTCCTAGACCTAGATGTTTCTATGTTATCAAAAGCCACTGGCTATGGAAGAGTCGATAAGAGACAAAAATAAAATAATTAACTTTTAGGCTGTTTTCATCTAATTACACACATTTTT